CCCCCCCCCCCCCCCCCCCCCCCCCCAAGTTAATTTATATTCTGTTTCATCCGCTGAAGAAGCCCAGAAGCTAATTGACGATTTTGAGACTCAAAATACCGTAAAATTTTTCTACTACATGGTAAGCAAAGGCTTTGGAGACACAGGTGAGAAGTAGCTATATTATTACATACAAAGTGGGCCATTGACCTAATCTTACCTTAGTTACTAAGGAAGCAAAACTTAATAATAACCTGTACCGATCAAAGTTTCGGTATTCCCGCCCCTCTCATATGGAAGCCTCGCCCCAGGGATAAAGCACTAGAAGTCTGGAAGCCTTAGAAAAATGGCGCAGCGTTTTGAAACTCAGAAAGGGGAGGAGGGTGGGGGCACATCATACACCAAGCCTAGCCTATAGCCCTACTTCAGTTTCCCATAATGTTATTTGCTTTGTTCGTTGGCACAAGCAAACCGCTGTGAGATCTTAACAGTGTCCATAGAATCAGTAATCGACAAGGCTAAAACGATCCATCAAAGGCAATTCCCTTTCAAGAAAACAACTATCACTTTGGCTGAGTTTCTCTGCATGGCAAGCATATTTTGCAAAGTATTGCCAAAATTTGTAATAGCAGTGACTATAATATTGTAATTGATCAATAATAATGTAATAGTAATGATTATAATATTTAATATGATTCACATTGTTTGACAAAGTAATAGAGCGGTTTTCACTTGACTGTCGTAAAACCAAAACCAAAGTAAATACACTAGCCAACCAAAGGGCGTAGTAAAAACAAAACCAAACCAATTCCTCAATTACTTTCGACAGTCAAGTGAAAACCGCTCTATTTTTAAACTTTCAGTATTCTGAACATCACTCACGTTGTTAATAATCATCTTTATTGAGGAAACTCTTTCATGAACGATATGATTTTCAAAAAAGGACCCCAAAACTAGATATATATTATAAAAACAAAAAAAGCTATAAAATTACAAAAGGATTAAAAAGATACAAAAAATGCATAAAAAATTAAAAATAAGTATAAGTAAAAATTAAACGTAAGTAGCTATATTAAAAACTTAAAAACATTACGTTTAAAACTATATATCTTTAGAACAATGAACAAATTCTTCCATACTTGAAGGAAGCAATTACGTCGGGTGAAATTGTAAACAAAGTTTTGGTTACACAGGTTTTAGTTTTGCCCATGAATTCTTATGTCAAATATTAAAGAAACAGACAGAAATAGTAATAGCTCATTTATTAGATTTAGAATATGGACTTCTCCGACTACTGATCTGATTTAGTCTGAAGTATTGAAATGCCGAGTTTCGATTGTCTCGAAGAAGTTTACATCATTTTCAATTCAGCAAATGCGATACAAAAACTCGCATAAACAAGGTTACACAAGTAGAAAGACATAATAATCAGTTGGAACAAACATTGAATCTTTTCAAGTGCTACGAGAAAGTAAATTAC